TTATAATTCAACTGAAATTTTATCCTTCTTCTTTTATAAGGAAAAATGTTTCTGCAGTTAATGCAGATAAGTTATCTGCATTAATTCCCAAAACGACGTCGTTTTGGTATTGAAATCTTAAAAAATTATAAATATAAAGACTGTTGTAACCCTGAAATAAATTAAAATTACAAAAACACCATGATTTCCGTCCCAAAACGACGTCGTATTGGCTTATTGCAGATAACTTATCTACAGTAACTGCAGAAAAAGCGAACCCTTAAAATAATATACATGTATTTTTTAAAAAAATTATTTAACATAAAAAATTTAAATATACATGCATAACCAATTAAAAAATATATAGAAATCATAAATTAAAATAGCAAAATATTATATAAAATGTATGTATAATTAATATAAAAAGTTTTAAATTTTAAATTTAGATAAAAAATGACGTCTGTCCTTCTGTAAAAAAAAATTATTAAAATTTAAGAACTATAAAAATTAAAATTTTAATTTAGTACGTAAGAAAGAAATTAAACTTTCATTTTTTTATTGCAAAAGTGTAATTAACACAAATACTTGCAAAAAATAATTATTTATGTAAAATGCTAACAGTTAGAGGTTGAAAACTGGGCTTGGCCTGGAGGGCCGGCACGCCAATATATTTTTGTAATTCAATTGAAATTTTATCTTTCTTTTTTTATAATTAAATTACTAAATCTGATTTCAATTTTTGTAAATACAAATTTGTGAAATTCCAAAGACTGACGACACTAATCCTTGCAAAAAAAAAATTATTTATATAAAATGCTGACAGTTAGAGGTGGAAAACTGGGCTCGGCCGGAGGGCTGGCCGGCTAATATATTTTTATAATTCAACTGAAATTTTATCCTTCTTCTTTTATAATTAAATTACTAAATCTGATTTCAATTTTTATAAATACAAATTTGTGAAATTCCAAAGACTAACGACACTAATCCTTACAAAAAAAATTTATTTATATAAAATGCTAAAAGTTAGAGGTGGAAAACTGGGCTCGACCCGGAGGGCCGGCCCGCTAATATATTTTTATAATTCAACTGAAATTTTATCCTTTTTTTTTTTGGTTAATAATTTTATCCTTCTTCTTTTATAATTAAATTACTAAATTTGATTTCAATTTTTGTAAATATAAATTTGTGAAATTCCAAAGACTAACGACACAAATCCTTTTAAAAAAATATAATTATTTATTATTATTTTATAAATCTGATTGTAGTAAATGAAAGTTCATCTCTGAGATAAAATATAAAAACCCAGACGCAACTATAAAAATGTTTTTTAGTGGATAAATATAAAAACCTTTTACATGCTGATAGTTAGAGGTGGCAAACTGGACTCGGCCCGGAGGGCCGACCCACAAACACATTTTATAATTAAATTAAAATTTCATCCTTCTTCTTTTATAATTAAATTCCTAAATCTGATTTTAATTTTTGTAAATACAAATTTGTAAAATTTCAAATGCTAACGACATAAATCCTTGAAAATAATAATTATTTATTATTATTTTTTAATTGTGATTGCAATAAATGAAAGTCCATCTCAAAGATTAGTGTAGTTGCTTTGATTCTGTTCATATGCATTTATTGCAATGTAAGCAAAAAATATGACTTATACATGCTTATTTGATTAAGTTGCATTCAAATCCCGTTCAGACAACATTTTGTTTGGTCCTTAAAAAAATTTAATCCAATCTTTTTTTTTTGCTAATACTATGACTTTTGAATGTTAACATATTAGTGTTACTTATTTAATTAGTTTTTGCCTTTTGTATCATAGGCACAAGGAACAAAAATCACACAAGAAATGACATATTTAGTAAGTGTTGAACTCATCCCTCCAATGATTGCTAAGAAATGACACTGAATGAATAGCGTTTTCATATTATAGGTAAAAGCTGATATTTTAAATCCATATTTGCTTGGTGTTATTGTTACCTTGATTTTGTTGATGAATGTTATAGTTAGCAATGATTTGTACGCATTTTTCTTTTTATATCACTTTCTCATGTTAACATGGTGTATTATAATGTATTATGGTGTATTATGATGTAGTTGTATGAAAGATTAATTATCTATCTGAATAACAGATTTTTGTTTGTGATTGATATTTGCAAAGCTATGTATTAATGCTGTAATTTTTTTCACCTGAAATATAGAACAAAATAACGACACAGTTTTTCTGTAAATATAAGGTTTGCAGTGCGATTAACCAACCCCGGCGGACGACAAAATTTTTGATCTTTTTCTGTGTGCATCGCACAGGTAATATACTAGTACTAATATAGAGTAGGATATTGTAACAACCAAGTAATGTTACTACCAATATTACAGTCAATTAATTTCACCGTTAGATTTATTATGTTGATCCAACGGTTATATTTATTTCTATCTTTGTATGGTTATGATTTCTCATATTTAATTTGAAAGCATTAAATATGAGAAATCATAACCATACAAAGGTGAAAATAAATATAAAGTATTAAATATGGGGAATCATAACAATACAAAGATGGAAATAAATATAACCGTTGGATCAACATAATCGATCTAACAGTGAAATTGATTGGTAGTAATATTAGTAGTAACACTAATTGGTTGTTACAATATCCTTTCCCATTAATATATTAGAAGTACTATTATAAATTTGGGAAAGGTTATAGTTACTACCTCTTTTTGTTACTACTAAATCGTAACCGTTGATTTTCGTCAATCTAACGGTTATAATATATTGGAAATTAATAATTAATTAATAAGTATGACTCAATATATTATAACCGTTAGACTGACGGAAATCAAGAGTTACGATTTAGCAGTAATAAAAAGAGGTAGTAACTATAACATCTCCTTATAAATTTTCGTTAATATTCATGAAATACTCTGATTTAAAATGATTTTTTTTTTCATAATAAAAAAAAATTAGAAAAAGTCAAGATGGGATCCTAGTCATACTCCACTAATTTTCCCTATGTTGCCGTTTTAATCCTTCACCCAAACGAAACGCACCCACTTTTCATTTGGAATCTTCGCCACCGTTCTCCGGTCAAATTTCCCGCGGTTTCTGAAACCTCCGGCGTCATCTCTGATTCTCCGGTCACCGCAGGTACGCATCTCAGTTTCGATCGCACGCTCTCTCTCTCTCTTTACCATTTACTTCTCAGTCGAATTTTTGCTTCGCCGACCATCGCCCAACTTTCACGTTTTCATGTTGCGTTGATCGAATTAGGGTTTCGGTTTCTAATTCTCGATCCCTAGGTTCCAATTTCGTTTAGTTAAGTTCGCTAATAGTGTTTTTTATTGTTGATCGTGAATGAACAGAGAGCATAGAAGGTCGTGGACGATGAGCAACGTGTTCGAGGGATACGAACGCCAGTACTGCGAGCTTTCGGCGAATCTATCGAAAAAGTGCACTGCGGCTGGTGCTCTTAATGGAGGTACTTGAAGATTCTTGCTTGATCTTACGTTTCTTCTTCTTCTTTTTAATGAGTCGTTGTTCTGTGATTGATGATTCTGGGTTTATAACCAGTATGATTATTTGTGTTCGATTGAATAAGTTCAGTTATTTCGTTAAGTTCTTTTACTAATTTTGTATATAGGTTTTCCTTTTGATCGTAGAATATAGTCTAAAAGTTTATTTGAGTTCTTAGACTTTTATTTTTTTTATTTATAACATGCTCCGATTAGAATGCTCAAATGTGGATCATGGAAAATGTGGATAATGACCGCAATCCGAGTTGTGTTGCGGTCATTGAGGGTTGATGTAGCCACACAATCATGGCCTGATACGGTTGCGGTAGTCATTGCAACTGAGATGTTGCAGCCGCATCACTTGATGTGGTCTGCAATTTAAAGCCCTAAATGGCATATGACATGAATTAGGACCCTTTAATCTTATTGGTGTTTAGCTCCTTTTTACCGAAAATGTATTGATGTGTAGCCCCTAGTTATAGAAATTCCCTCCAGAAAGTTTCTACTCCTGATATTTTCCAAAGCCTCCCAGCTCTTATTATCTTTATTTGGTCATGGTTGAAGACATGAGTGTTTTTGTATCCTCCTATATACAGCACTTAAAAAATCTCTTGGCAGATGCCTATAAGTGAAAAGTATAAATTTGGAAGGGGCAATGCCTTAGGTCTTACTAATGTATTAGATTTGGAATATCTATGGCTTTGTCTCTTGAAGTTGTAAGCCCTGATTGGGAGCAGAAACTGCATTCTGTGGGTTTTTAATGTTAGATTTTAAAGGTTAACATTTAACAATGGCTAGGTAAAGTTCCACCATGCTACCACTTCTATACCTTTAACTATAATTTTTCAGAGCTATTCCCCCCCCCCCAAATTATGTTTGGCCCCCCTCATAGCCTTGGAGTAGTGGTAAGGTTGCTTTTTGGTGGCTGGGAGGTCAAGAGTTAGAATCTCAGACGTAGTCGCTTTGCAAAAATATAAGGATAAAATTGCGTACAATCGACCCTCACCCCTACCCTCTCAAAGTCAGAGAGTCTTTGGTGTTGTTGTGCCATATGCCTCGTAGGTCACATATTCGATTTATGTAATTAGCCTCTTGCAAATGCAAGACAAAGCTGCTTTCTGTAGACCCTTCCTTGAACTCTGCACATAGCGGGAGCTTTTTAGCACATGACTGCTCTTTTTTATGTTTAATGCCCCTCCTTGTTTCTGTTCTTTTGTTAGTTGATAGGGTGGGGAAGCATTCTAATGTACTCATCATGGAATAAAGTAAATTCTAACACTCATTTCATGTGACAAGGTTATTTGGCTCACTATAATTCCTATGGATTTTGACATATTCATGAAAAAATGTCTTAATTAGTAATTATTCTTGAAGTAATGAACTGTAGGAATGACGAATTTTCAAAGGTTTTATCTAGGATGGAGAAAGGATTGAATCTTGTGATTTTATGTTGGAGCAACATATATTCCATTAATAAGTTTTATCATTTTCTGTTTGATCTGCAGAGCAAAAGAAACAAAAAGTTTCTGAAGTAAAGGCAGGAATTGATGAAGCAGAGGCTCTGGTACCTTCTCCCCCTCCCCTTGCCCCCTCAATTGTAAAGTTGGTTCTTTTTTTTTTTTTCCTCGAGTTCTGATGTTGTTTTGGTAATCAATTTGTAGATTCGAAAAATGGACCTTGAGGCAAGAAGTTTGCAGCCAAATATCAAGGCTGTGCTTCTTGCTAAGTTGCGGGAGTATAAATCGGATCTAAACAATCTTAAAAGTGAAGTTAAGAAAATTGTGTCTGGTAACTTCAACCCTTCTGCACGGGATGAGTTGTTGGAATCAGGCATGGCAGATGCTATGACGGTATGGTTAATTTATTTTAACAACCTTTTTTTATGCTAAAAGATGATTGATTTTGTTGTCAAACTACAATGAGGAAACATTTTGATCATCCTTTTTCTTTGTAGTTATGTACTTTTCTAGTAAAATTAATGAGTTAAGTAATGACTTACTGTTGCTGATATAGCTTTTCCTTTCCAAGCAAGCCACGTTACTCTCTCATTACTAATACTTTAGCCATTGCATAAAAAAGTTGATTTGTAGATCACATTGGAACTGTTACTTTAATGATCAATTAAGAGACTGCTTTGAAGCTCTTTGAATGGGAGGACATAGATGAAATCAAGATCAAAGTATGTGCCTATGTGGACCAAAATAGCACCCACCTTACACTTGACCTCTTGTCGCAGGCCCCCAGAAAATAACCTAACAATTGATCCTCCGAAGTTACAGCAGCTTATGCAACCAACAACTTAAATTCTTGGTCATACTCCTCCATGGAACCTGTCTGTCTCAGTGTGTTTAGGCTTTCTTATACATCCCCCAAACTCTTTCCCCCAAACCTTTGGATCAATGCTGACGAAAATCCTTCTCAAAACAAATTGAGTGTCTTCTTTCTCCAGAACCAAAACGAGTGCACAACAGATCTGTCCCTGCCAATGAAAGCCGATTGCATCTTCTCTGATGGCTTGATCTTCTGTTCCTCAGAATTCTTCAGCCCTTGCTATCCATCCCACAGGATCGCCGTCAGCAAAAGTGGGTAACTTGCCCTTTCTTACCCAAGAATGAGATTCCTCACTACCTCATTCTGAATCACTTCCCTCCATGTTCTCCTTGTTATGCTTGTTCAAAGGAGGCGGATTCGGTCTTGAACAGGCTGCTCATTAGTGCTATCTTCATTGAATTTGATACCCTGCTTCTGCATATATTGTCCAAGAAGTTGCATGATTCCATCAATCCCATCCGTACTTTTCTTGATTTCAGACAATTGAGCTCCATATTGCTGGTCATTTTCTTAAAAAATTCCACATAATTTTCCAGTGCTTCAACTCTTTATTCAATGTCTGCCAACTGAGGATCTTGTAGGTCGGATCAAATTGTTACGAACCCACAAACAAGAAATGAAGAATTGTATAAGAGAGAGAAATAATAAGAATGTTCTATTACTGGTGAATTAAATCTAAACAGAAAAATTGAAGTATTCTCCCTCCAAGAGTTTCCCCTTCAACAAAGGGCTTCCCCTTTCCACAACTGAGATACTGCTCGATTTCCCAATGCTGACAGTTAAGAATGAATCTCCCTTCTACCCTCTTCTACTATCTAAGCTAAGCCCCTGCCCTTGTTATCATAATCACCTAACTAATTCTATGACTGCCAGCCAGGGCCCTATCAGCTTGTCTGTTTATTTTAGTGACACATACAATGTAGACAAGTGTTTTAACATTTAAAATACTAGTGTGTTACACATGCAATGCAGAAATAACTTCATAGTAATTTTTAAAAATTGGAATAGTTTGTAATTTTTGTATGTATTATACTCAACTAATTTAGACTTAAGGTAAAATTATTCAGAAAATACTTATTATTCTAATTTATATTAATATTACATAAGGATTAAAGTTTCAATCTGATCATTAATGGATAATTTTTATTTTATTTTAAATGATTAATGTTTCTTTTTCTGCCAATGGATGCTTAGATAGGTATAAATATTCGGTTAACTGTTTGGTTGGGCATCCAAGATTTTATTGTATTAGATTATAAATGTACTTTACTTGTCCAAAAGTATCACCTGTCTTCAATCCTATTGTGCCAAATGGCATTTCTCTTGTCTGATTTCTAGATATGGGGAATGATTGAGCTTAGATTCAATCTTGATTTCTGAACACTCCTGTTTCTTGGATTGGTACCACCAAAGCTGACCCCAACTTCTAATGTAAATACATTAGGCATCAGCTGATCAGAGAGGAAGATTAATGACTTCAACTGAGAGGTTGAACAAGACCGGTGAAAGAGTTAAGGATAGTAGGAGAACAATGTTAGAAACAGAAGAGCTTGGCGTTTCAATTCTTCAGGATTTGCATTCACAGCGACAATCTCTGTTGCATGCTCATAACACGGTAATCTTTTTTCTTTCTTTTTTAATATATTCTGTGATTGTGACTCTATTAGTAAAATGATTCTTTTAAGAATTTTAGTTTTCTAATACAGTAATTTCAGTATGCATGCTCTCCGTGACTGTTACCTTTGAGTTATGATGGAAATCGCTTGTCAACTTCTTCATTCTAATATTTGTATAAATGCCGACTATCTTGTAGCAGTTTTTATTTTGTTTCTTATATCTCTAAATTTTATGCATTTGAATTTGCTTTAACATTGTTAGATATAAAAACCAATCTCGTCTTCATGTAACCACCCAAGTTTTTTAGATAGTTGGTTCACTGTGTCACACAAGGTGCAATAGGCCGATACGTTATCTGTGTTTCAAGTACAAAGAACTCTTCCGTGAGGAGATATATATATATATATGAGAAAAATGTTTGTCATTTTAAATGACATAAAGTTATGTCATTTTAAGAGAGAGATAGACACAAAATATTTTTTTATTTAAAATTTAAATTAAAAAAAAATCACCTACTTTCTCTCCCATGATTTCTATTTCTTGTGTCTATATTTCTCCTAAAATGACATAACTTATGTCATTTAAAATGAAAAATATCAAATCATATATATATATATATATATATATATATATATATATATATATATATATCATTCATGTCTATCATGTCTTTTCACCAAACAGCTTTACTTTTTAGGATAGCTGGTTCATCAAAAATATTAACTTGTAATCTGTTATATTGTTTTCAAAATTTAATTGAAAATATGAAGTGTTCTTTACCCTGAGTGGCAGTGGTGAAAGTACATTCCCTTGATCTACTGATGGTTATATTCTCTCATGCAGCTTCATGGAGTGGATGATAACATAGGCAAGAGCAAGAGAATTTTGTCCAACATGTCAAGAAGGATGAACAAGAACAAGTGGATGATTGGCGGCATTGTTTTGGTCCTTGTTGTTGCTATCGTCTTGATCCTCTACTTCAAACTTTCTAAATAGCCAATGGCTCACCTTTTCTCGTAATGGTTCATAAATATCGCTAAGATACAACGTATTCCTATTATTTTCTGATTTGTGAGTGCTCGGACAAAGGTGTTCGTTGTGCAGTGCTGCTAGCTAATTTGGCACTATTGGCTTCTTTCAATGTATCGCATTATTTGTAATGTATGGAATTCTGATTTCTTTTTGGCCATTTTTTGCATGAATTTAATCGTGAAACCAGAATTCTGTGTGGTTATGCTGTTCAAATTTAAACGGGATTTTGACTCTAAATCTATTTGAGAAAATAATGTTGTTCAATGCGACATGTAAATCACTTGCATAGAATCCTTATGCTCCTTATAGATAAATCAATGATGAAAGTGAAAACAAATAAAATATAACCATTTTTTCAAGGGAAAAATTCACCCATGCTCTTATGGTTTACTTCAGAATCACTTATGCCTCTGTGGTTTTTTTTTAATCACATATGTCTGTGTGCTTTGTAAAAATTAAGAAACCACAGGGACATATGTGATAAAAAAACATACCCTTTTACAAATCATAGGGGCATATGTGATAAGAAAAAAACCACATGAGCATAAGTGATTCTGGAGTAAAACACAAGGGCATTGGTGAACTTTTCCCTTTTTTCAATAATCCATATATTAAATTTGGCTATGTTGGGTGGTGGTAGAAAATAATTGTAATTGATGGAGAAAATCGCTTGAACCGGATCAGTAGATAAATATATAAAAAATAATAATTTGTAATTTGATTTCAAATGGCAAGAAGAATAGAAGATTACGCATTTCCCACCCTTTATTTTAAGCTATTTTTGTTTTGGGTCTCCCTCTTATGACAGTTAATCCACACTGTGCTTCTTCATCGCTCGCTCTCGCTCTTCGCTCTCTTCTCCGAAGATGTGCACGCGCCGCCGCTCTCCTCCCCGGCAAGCAACTCCACGCCGCCGCCACTGTGACCGGCCTCCTCTCATCCCCCAAGCACTTCCTCCGCAACGCCCTCCTCCATCTTTATGCAGTTTGCGCGTTTCCCTCCCACGCGCGCAAACTGTTCGACGAAATTCCCCACTCGCACAAGGACTCCGTAGACTACACCGCTCTCCTACGTTGCTGCGCCCCCCGAGAAGGACTCGAATTGTTCGTCGAAATGCGCAGAGAGGGCCTGACCGTTGATGGGGTGGCCATGGTTTGTGCGTTCAACGCGTGTGCAAGGCTTGGGGATGTGAAGGTTGGGTCTCAGGTTCATGTGGGTGTGGTGAAATTTGGGTTTGGGGAGTATACTAAGGTTTGCAATGCTGTGATGGATGTGTATGTTAAGTGTGGGCTTCTGGGTGAGGCAAAAAGGGTGTTTGAACAGATGAGGGATCGTAGTGTTGTGTCTTGGACAGTGGTTTTGGAAGGTGTGGTGAAATGGGAAGGTGTGGAGAGTGGAAGAGTGGTGTTTGATGGAATGCCTGAGAGGAATGAGGTTGCTTGGACTGTTATGATTGTGGGTTATGTTGGAAATGGGTTTACAAGGGAAGCTTTTTGGCTTCTGAAAGAAATGGTTTTTGGTTGTGGTTTTGTGTTGAGTCATGTTACGCTTTGTTCGGTTTTAACAGCTTGTTCTCAGTCTGGTGATGTGAGTGTGGGTAGGTGGGTTCATGGTTATGCTGTTAAAGCAATGGGGTGGGACATTGGTGTTATGGTGGGGACAAGTTTGGTTGACATGTATGCAAAGTGTGGTAGGATAAGTGCTGCGATGATGGTGTTTAAGCACATGTCAAGGAGGAATGTGGTGGCATGGAATGCTATGCTTGGTGGGTTAGCCATGCATGGACTGGCGAAAGTTGTGGTGGACATGTTTCCTTGCATGGTGGAAGAAGTGAAACCTGATGCTGTGACTTTTATGGCTTTGTTAAGTGCTTGCAGCCATTCGAGTCTAGTTGAACAGGGTTGGCAGTACTTCAATGATCTTGAGTCTGTTTATGAGATAAGGCCAGAGATAGAGCATTATGCTTGCATGGTGGACCTTCTTGGTCGAGCTGGACATTTGGAAGAAGCTGAGATTTTGGTGAAGAAGATGCCAATTCCTCCAAATGAAGTTGTTCTGGGATCTCTTCTGGGTTCTTGTTATGCACATGGTAAGCTGCAGCTGGGGGAACAGATTATGCAAGAGTTGGTTCAGATGGATCCCCTCAACACAGAGTATCATGTCCTACTTTCAAACATGTATGCATTGTCTGGAAAAGTAGACAAGGCAAATTCCCTAAGGCAGGTTCTTAAGAAAAGGGGTATAAGAAAGGTTCCAGGAATGAGCTCCATATATGTTGATGGCCAACTTCATCAGTTCAGTGCAGGGGATAAGTCACACCCACGAACTGCAGAGATTTACATAAAGCTTGATGACATGATTTGCCGGTTGAGGTTGGCTGGCTATGTTCCCAACACAACATGTCAAGTATTATTTGGTTGTTCGAGTAGGGATGATTGCATGGAAGCATTGGAGGAAGTAGAACAGGTATTGTTCACTCATAGTGAGAAGTTGGCACTGTGTTTTGGCCTAATGAGCACAGCATCAGGTTCTCCCTTATATATTTTCAAGAACTTAAGGATATGCCAAGACTGTCATTCTGCTATCAAGATTGCCTCTGACATATATAACCGTGAAATTGTTGTTAGAGATCGTTATCGATTTCATAGTTTCAAGCAAGGTTCTTGTTCTTGTTCTGATTATTGGTGAGTGATTCTTTAACCTGAGAGACACTGGTTGGATGAGGAAATTGAAGTTTCATTCATCAGGACTCAGGATAATAACTCAGTTTTACAATATGAGGAGGATGCATCTTCAACCCAAGTGTTGTTGGGAAAAGAAACTATGAGTAGCTTTTAGTTTTAGGACTTGTGTACACTTACCTCAACCTTTTTTTTACAAGGTTATAAATAATAACAATATCTCATTTAATATATAACTAATGATCTAGATCTTCTACGTTTCTTAAAAAACTGGACACAAATTTTATAAACATAACATAAAAATTCTCTGTCAGAATTAGAACTGCACGTCCTGAAGTTTTTATTTAATTTCAGGTGATCGTGTTCCTTATTGAACATCACTTGGAGTTCCAGAATTACGAAAACACAAAAAGTTTCAGAATGGACATGAAAGGTTTACCCGAAGCTTTGCTGTCTGCATGATCATAATTAGTCTCTATGAACATATTTTAAAAGTACTACACGATTTCCAAATGGGGATGTAGCTCAAATGGTAGAGCGCTCGCTTTGCATGCGAGAGGCACGGGGTTCGATCCCCCGCATCTCCATGTTTTTCAAACTAATTTTTTTTCCGTCTGTTTTTGGTTTACGTGGAAACATAATCAGTTTTTAGAAGTTAAAATTTGTTTCTTTAATATTAATATCAATAGGTGTTTGGTAGATGAGAAAATTTTTTATCCGATAATCTCGATTTTCAGAAATATGATGAAAACATTCGGTTTACAATAATATTCAAAAATTAAAAATTTAGAAAAATTTAATTTCTCCTGAATCTTACAAAATACCTTGTATCAAACGTCCCGTAGCAAATGTAAGGAAAAAAAAAATGTAAATACAATTGATAAAAGGTGTAACAAATCATCCTTCAATTTTATTCAACATGCATGTATTGTCTGCTATTGATTGAACTAGAGTTGTAATCAGTGGCGGAGCCAGACCAAAAATTTAGGTGGTGTCAAATTTTTTTAATATATTAAATTATCAAGATATTTATCATAATTATACAAATTAATCAAAAAAAATTATTATGAATTCTAGCATAGTTATTTAAATTATGTATTAAATAATATCATATAACATTGAAAATTCAAATGAACAATCGTTAATGATTATGGGTTCCCGTTTCTGCAGTCATCGTAGATAAGTTATCTGCAGTAAACCCAATACGACGTCGTTTTAGGACAAAAATCATGGTGTTTTTGTAATTTTAATTTATTCTAGGATTATTATAGTCTTTATAATTATGATTTTTTAATTTTTCAATCCCAAAACGACGTTATTTTGAGAGTAAATGCAGATAACTTATATGCATTAAATGCAGAAATATTTTTCTAAATGATTATATATCAAAGCAAACATATAAAAAGACATTAACCTTTTGGGTAAGCATTTCAAACATAAGAATTTCACTTTCCTCCTATAGCATGATAAGTAATGAACCAAGTATTGTCATAAGGATATGAAAACACACAAATATAATATTTTTCTATAAATTTCACTTTATAATTGAGATATTAACTATAAATTAAAGCATACAGACAACATTTAGAGTCAAAGGGATTCTCCTTCATTATACTTTTCTATTTACAAAATATATTTTTGTTTGATTCTTCCATCTTTTCATTTCGTAAGCCATTGCTATTTCAATCGAAGTCTCGCAGAGCTAGCAAGTTGTGCAACAACTCAGATGAAAAAAGGAGCAAGAGAGAGAAATCTGATTGCAATTGTAAGTCACAAATTAAGACTTTGAAAATGATTTTAATTTATGGGTCAGGTAAAAGGATTTAGATATTGGGTTTTATTTTTTTGATTGAAAAACATAAATATAATTATATTTATTTAGGTGGTGCCAAATTATAAATTTAATCTTTGTTAATTATAATTAATTATATATTTACATATAATAAATAATTTTTTTTTAAACTTTGGCACCTGCTGCCAAAGGAGTGGCTCCGCCACTGGTTGTAATGTACTTGTTAGGTTACATCTAATAATTGTGCTGTACAAGACCAATATAACCAATGAAAGCATCTTTGCTTGTTTTATTCGTTCTTAGGTTCTCATACTTCTTCACATGTTCGAATTTTGAACTTTGAAAGATAATCGAAACAAAAACTTTTGTGAGGGGACACAGATGCCATGCCAAATAAGAATAGTGAAAAGTGAAAACCTCACGCTACACATATATATTTGGACACTTCTTGTTTGATAGTTGTTCTTAATTCCTATTATTGTTTTACTTGTAATCTAACAATTATATCAGAACATTCAGACAAAATCAATTAATCAAACATATATATACCAACTCTATACAACATAGTTATTATGATATTGTGGGGTTCTCCTCTTGTACGTCTGTACTCTGTATTTATGCCTGATTTGTGAGTGTAATATTCCTTGAATATTCCATCATTAATAAAAAAAATGTAACATATTACTTTAAGTTTGTAATTTAGTATACCAATATTAGATACACTAGTATCTTAAAATCTTGACGATCAACTAAAATTAAAGTAACCTCCGTATACACACATATACACGCATATATATATATATGTGTGTGTGTGAGGCAGGATCATTTTACACTGATGTAAGAATAATAAGTCTCACTCATTAATTAATTTTTAATTTTCAATAAATCTCAACTGTTAAATGCACGAAAATCAACGGTTAAGATTTAGCATAAGATTTATTATTCTTATCCCGGTGTAAGTTGATCCTATCCCTATATATATATATATATATATATATATATATATATATATATATAATTCAATTTCAAACAACAAATTTCTAAATGAATTTTAATTAGGTTTTATAATCTTGACTGTAATGTGTGGGAAGCGTGTTCCGTTGTGAAGAGCTGGAGGTTGTATATTTGAACTAAACAAAAAGGACCACCACTCAAAAAATACTTTATTTCATTTGATCTCTTTACCCCCTTTTCTATCCTTATCCTCCGACACCTTGAGTTGTCATTAAAAATTAAATTCTTATTTTGTTAAAAAGAAAAAAAACACCTAGAATATTAATTCATGCTTACAACAAACTCCAAACCAAAAACCGAAAATAATCACCACCAATCATTGGTTCAAGTGACACGAAACTTATTTTTTTTAAGGAAAAAATATTACTGCAGTTAATGCAGATAAGTTATTTGCATTTATTCTCAAAACGACGTTGTTTTGATATTGAAATCTTAAAAAATTTAAATATAAAGACTATTTTAACCCTGAAATAAATTAAAATTATAAAAACACCATGATTTTCGCCCAAAACGACGTCGTATTGAACTTACTGCAGATAACTTATCTGCAGTAACTGCAGAAAAAGCGAACCCTTTTTTTAATTAGAGATTTTGAGTTGTGGAAATGAAGGAAACAATATTGGAAGAGCCAGCCACCTCCAGTATGAATCCAACAGTATTCAAACTGGTTTAGATCAAAATCAACATTAATAACACATTTATCCCAAACTAATTAGGGTCCGTGATAGATTAACCCAAATGAAAAGTCCAAAAAGATTGAAAAAATAAATAAAACATATATATATATATATATATATATATATATATATTAAATATTATCCAAAAAATAGCAATAAAAAATTAAAAGAAAAAAAATAAATAAAAATAAAAATAAAAATATACAAGAGAACAAAAGAAGTTGAAATACAAATAAAAATAAAGAAAGAGAGAGCCAAAAAAAAGAAAAAAAGAGGAAGGCAGACAAAGAAAGAGAGGGAGATATGAGGAAAATCATTAAAAAGCAACCATATGGAATATAGGAAGAAAAAACGGGTTGAACCTTTCACCATACTAATAGCTTTTCTTCAATCCATCCTAAGACACATCGTTTGTCAATCTATATCACTATATTAAGTCTTGTTTTACTATCTCTCCCAGGTAAGTTTTAGTCTACCTCTTCCTCTCTTTGTGTCAAACTCTTGGTAACAAATTTTTGATCTTACGGGAGAATCTAGGATTTTCTCATTACGTGTTTGAAACACCTTCAATCTATGTTCTCTCATCTTTTCAGCCACCGATACCACTCTCACCCTTCATCAAATATCTTCCTTTCTTATGTTATTACTCAGATCCAGTTTAGATAAAAAAAAAAGAGGGAAAAAAGAAGAAGCAATTAGAGATGAGGTAACAGGATCATATTTTCCTTTTGAAAGATTCATGACACTTAATCAGAACTGAATTGCAGTTTAAAAATTAATTGTATTACTATCCATGGATTCAATTGGCTGCAAATATTCTTCACAACCCTTTGCTATCAAGTTGTCAACAAATAGAATTGAACAGCATGTTTAGACTGATTTCTTGTTCAACTTGTTCCTCTTGAACCTGCTATAATCTGCTAATAATCTACCCTGGAATTCCTTCTTTACTTCATCCAACATTGTTTTGAAAACCTGTTAATTAGCATGTCGTCAATACTTGGATTAAACAGACTAAATTAGCTACATCCATGTGCCAAATAGAAGAAAATGAAGTGAGAATAGGAAGTCTAACCAACTCAAAAGTATCCTGTAAGACATTTTCAGGAATGAAAGCCATTGTTGGAGAAACACAAAAGCTTATCTTCATCTCAGTTTGATTCTTAAGCCAGCTATGTGTTCCCCTCCTTTCTGGGTATATGGTACCTTTAACATCTAGGTTGAAGTTGTAAGGATCCATGTAAAAGCTACTGAGGCCTTGTAGCTCCCATCTTAACTGAAAAAAAGAAAATGCTCACTTGTACAAAATTTAATAAAAACAAGTTACAAACTGACCAAAGTATATTTATATATTCCAATGCAAGTGCTTACAAAGTGAAGCTCAAGAATTTTGGTGATATGATGAGGTATGTTAGGTGGGTATCCTTCTCCATTTGACTTGAATGTTAATCTAACATCTGCTGTTGGCTGCACATTCAAGAATAAGCATTGTATAGGAGGCATTTTTATCCTCCACTCTTCCTGCATACATACATATTACCACAAGCACTTTGAGATGACAAAAGTTTTAACATGAACCAACTCTTTTGGGAATTTAAAGTTGTTGGGCAAAGGCATATGAATGATTTTATTATATCTAATGACATATTTATATTATACCTAACAAGTTTCCTAAGGGTCCTTTGCTCTAATTAAGGAGGATCCATCTAAAAGAGGCATTCCTTTCACCAATGTGAAAGTAATGTTCTTTTAACAGATTTTCTTTCCCTTTTTCTAGATGATGAATGCAAAATACCTCATTGAGCTGCTTAGTTGTTCCTTTATCAGGAAATACAGCTTGGATTATTCTGTGCTTGTTGTCCATATATTGATCAAAGGAAGCCTGCAAAGCAAATCAATAACATTTATGTTAGAGACACACTGATATGGAAGAGGAGGATGGGGAGGGTGAGAACTAGTTACCCCTGGCAACTCATAAAGAGGAACATTAACTGTGCTTCTATAACTGAATGAGGAAGTTTTCTCATTCCTAATCACTAAGTTTGATGATGCCTTTGTATGACAATATCCATGAAACCTGTGCTTCTTCAGCAATTGGGGTTGGCAGGGAACTGTGAGAACACTTGCCATGATATAGTTGACACAATGAATATATCTAGCTTATAAATCTGTCTTCTCTACAGAATAAGGTATACTATTATTACACTGTTCTCCTTCATTCATGATATTTAATTAAATATGAGTGAGTTAGATTCTGGTAGTTCTCCTAATTACTCATAATTTTATTTAGGAGAAAAAATTAACTACAGTGGAACAAGATAGTTTATCCAGTTAATATTTGGTTGATCATTAGCCATTATTTCTGACTTTAATTATTTAGAAAAGGTAGTTAAAATAAGTTTATATTATGTGACTTCAACACTAAAAGAAAATGTTAACTAAGATTCTTGGAATTAACAAAGTAGGTTGGTTAAGGGATCGCTTTACTTCCCTTGACTGCTAATAGAAGCTTGCAAGTATGGTATATTATAGATGGCTTAAAAAGCACTTGAAAGTTGTGGTCCCCATAGCTGATTTAATGGCTATATGTGGATTGGAAACACTTGCCTTTTCGGCTCGTAACTTGGATGCTAATGTTCTTGCGTGCAGGCAAGAACATATGATTTGGCCAAATATGCATGGCAATAATTTTAGAAGTTAAGAGGATGGGAAAAGGGGTTGGATGGAGGGAGGGGTTAAGGAATTCATCAGCCCTTAAAATAAAGATACAAGGATAAAGGATAAACGGTAGATTTTATAACTCCATGATGTATATGATTATAAAGGGAGAAGCATCCATTTACAAAAAAATTTTACAAATTTTTGCAAATTACACTATATTCTCCCGAAAGAACATAATGTAACCTAGTGTTTTTTTCGAGAGAACATAGTGTAGTTTGTAAGATCAAACGACACATCATCATAATGTCGTTTTGGTGAAGCCCAGTAGAGTTTTTTCTTTTTTCCCATATATAAAATAAAAAAGCACTTCAAGATCCTGAATCATCGTTCTCAATTGTGTGATCCAGGGATGTTCATTAACCGATTCAAACCATAGTGACAGAACCGAACAATCTATAACCGAATTAACCAAAAAACCAAAAAAAAAAATAAAATTGCATATTTTAATTAGATTGGATCGATTTTCGATTTGGTTGATGAAAAGTGACCCAATGGAAACTTATCTAAGTCTTCGGCTGTCGTGTGGAGAATATCCTTAGTTATAATTGGGGCCTTGCCCACAAAACAAAAAATAAAGAGCAAACAATACATCAACGTAATATCTTTTTGGTGAAGCTTGTTGGAGTTTTTTCTTTTTTCCCATATATAAAATAAAAACTTCGGGATCATAAATCATCGTTCTCAATTGTGTGATTTATGAATGTTCATCAACCGATTCAAATAACAGTGATCAAATCAAAAAATCGATAACTGAATTAACCGAAAATTGAAAAATTAAAATTCAAAAAAATATCGCATATTTTAATTGCATTGGATTGATAAACCGTTTGTTTAATAAAAATGGATTCAATGCAAACCGATTCAATGTATTATTTATTTTTTATTTTCAAAAGATGATGATTTGAAATCTTGTTATTTGATGGACTTGAATATTGGATGTTATTAATAGCAAATTCTGTTGTTTTAATTTTTTTTATTATCTATTAATCTATTTTAACTGTTCGTGACTTTTAAATCTTGTTATAGTTTGGAGATATTGTTAGTGATTTGTATAACTGAAATTTTAAAGCTTTTCAAAAAATCAAAAATCGATCTAATCTAATTTAAATTGAATAAAATTAGATTAGATTAAAAAAAAGTTCAAATCGTGATCCAAGTGAATAAATTGAATCAGTTTCTTGAAAACGATCCAATCCCAAAACCAAAGAGGTAAATATAACTAGCATTCGTGGTCAATATGGTAGTTGTTTTGTTGGAGGACAACACCATACTGGTCATGGTTCGAATGCTGGTAGAATCCGAAAGAGGTAAATATATATAGAGAGATAAGCTCGCAAGTTTCGTAAAGAATAATGGGGTTCTTTCCAAGGGGTGGTGGCGAAGACAGCATCAACGACTTTTACGAGTACGATACGACACCCTACAGTGGTGTAACAACATTGCTCTCACCTACGGTCGCCCAATCCCTCCCTCCGATGAAACCCGCTACCCTATTGGATCCTCCGGTTCCGACGATGCATTCGATTACGATCGACCCCAATACTCGTCGTATTCCGAACCTTCTGCTTATGCTGATGAAGCTCTCGCCACTAAGTATACAGCTATGGTCGACCCAAGCCTAGACCAGCTCTACTGGTTTCATTTCCCTTTGCTTTGAGTAACAATAAAAGTACAAATTTAACATATTATTCATAAAACAGAAATGTTTTTAGAGATCTTGCATAAAAAAAAACTTATCTTATGGTACATATTTATTGAAATTCGAGTTAATATTTCTTCTTCTTCTTTTTTTAGTTACGAGACTCATCTAATTATGTTTCTACATAAAACAATGTTATCTCATATAATATAAGAAAAACATAATCCTTCTTATAATTTCATTATCTTTTATTTCTGCATTATACAGATTTTTTTTCCCTTTTAAGAACATATGGCCTGTTGATCTAAAACTTTAAAAAAAGTATATAAATACTACATTTGGCCTGTTCATCTAACATGTGTTCGATTCTCGCTGAATGCATTCTTGGGGAGGGGGCTGAACCTTTAGCCATCACTGTTCCCCCGCACTCCGAATTAGTCCCATAGCCGGCTCAAAGAGTCGAAGCTCGTGGGGATACCGGAGGGAGCCAACTCGTCTCAAAGAGATAATTAAGGTTGGGTAACTCAAAAAGAAGAAGAAAAGAAATAGAACGATTTAATTCATTAAATAAAAGTTTTTTATTATAACATCTGTCTATATTTAAATAAACAAATTAAGAAGAGACATTACCAAAAAATTTGATCTAAGATATACATTTTTTTGGTAACTTTTCCATTCTTGGAATAGTGCAAGAAGTGGTACATCATATTCGTGCAACGTTCATATTGCTTTAAATGAAAAATAATATCCTAGGTAATATTTTTTATTCATGACAAGCCCTTAATATAGATACACAAATTTGGCATATTTTCTTATGCTGATAGACAGTGGCGGAGCCAAACAAGAATTTTAGGCAGTGCCAAGAAATAGAACCCAGCCATTAAACCACCAAGCAAACCAGCAAATTATGAGCACAAGCATGACAATAAGGTAGAATATTAGGAGTCAAGAGATTCTCCAAAAGGCTCCAATGAAACCTGCCAGAACCACAACCAGGATTAGAACCCCTAGGATGATTACAGGCCATTGTAAAAAATTGACACAGGTAGTGGTTGGCTCATTTGTTAGCAAGATTCCAACACCAATGATTGGGGTTGAGAGTAGCACGACAACGAAGTTGATTACAGTCTATAACTGCAGTTTACTCCAACTTATTTGAATACATTAAAAAGAAAAATATTGTACAATGCATAAATGTAACTCATACAAGAGTCTCTCATACAAGAAAATTTTCACATATCCTTAAAAATAAGAAATTTTCTTTCTACAAGAAAAATTGGACTATTAGATTCCACCAATTATGTGGATCCAATTGTAAGACCAAGTATATTCAAGGGTGGAATTGCTCTTGGAGGAAGAATAAGCATATAGAATCTCTTGTAAACCAAAGAATATATACTGGAAAGACAAGTGCGCACAAAAACATGAAGATTCAAAAGCAATAAAAATTAAAAAATGTGAAAAAAATTAGCCCAACAGCACTAGCAACCATGAGCCCTTGAAAAAATTAGCCAAAAAAAAAGCAAAATGTCCGAGAAAAAAATGCATTGAAAACAAGCAAATAAAATAAGGATACAACCTTTTAGACAAAAAAACCCAATCCAAGTTAAAAAGACCACCTTTCAAAAAGAAACCTTGGGTGCTCAGGTATCACAAATTTGATACGACCAATGTTCATTTTTTTTTTCAGAAATATATTTGAATCAAAACTCACTAAAAATTAAAGGGGGTTGGGCCAATTTCAAGTCAAACAGAAGCTCTCTGAAAGTTTCTGGTCAACCCAAGACAAGCAAATTCCCTTCATCTATGACTCAAATGTAAACAAATCAAGGTTTCGAATAGACAAAACAAGATTCGAATTCAAAACCAGATCTATGATGACCGCGTGCAACTTGAGAAAAACAATAAATTAGATTGGTAACAAAACAAACCTTTAATGTAATTTCATTGATTTAAGACCCTAATCCCAAACAAAACACATGCAAGCTCAAATCTTGATCAAACCCTAGAAAAACAATAAAGTTCAAGAACAGAAATTTGACCAGAAGCGCTGATAAATTCACTGTGTAGAACTTATCGACGAGTTCTTTGAGGAATTGGGATTGAAAATCAGAGTAGAGTTTTTCAGAACATTGCTGCAAAACCTTGTCCAAGCCAGTGCCAATAGGGAATTTCTGTCATTTTCACCCTACCAAGATTACAATCGAGAATGGTTCTGTAGGAGCTGATGAAAACCAAGCCAGTGCCAAGGCACCGGCTGGTCTCAACGTGGCTCGGCCACTGCTGATAGACATGACATTAAGCACACAAGCTATGTGATTAACTGCGTGGGACATTCTCATCAAGTGTTCTTAATTTCTAAGCAGAATATGGAATCCTCAAGGCCATTCTTTGAGCGAGCCAAGGTCTCTTTGGTTCTGGGTCAATGAAGCCATGCACGAGAAACTTTTCTGCTTCCTCATTCATTCATTCTCTAGCCCGTTTTGCCTGTTCAGTTGGACAGCAACCCGATCCAAACACACCTGTACTTTTGATACCATTACTCCAAACTTCTTGAACTCAATAAACAACAATTTTGCATTGAAGGCAGGTAAAATTTATTTCAAGGAATTAAACTTTGACACAACAATTAGTGTTTTAATCATGTGACTATTATCTTAACCCTGGGCATAGCAGCAAGTTACCCTTTTTTATGTATGCCAAATAAGATATTTGCAGGACTAATGGGACAAGCAGATAAGGTACACAAACTTGGAAGAAGTAACTACTT